CTAGCGATGACGCCCTGCTGCTCCTAGGGCCTGCGGGGCGAACTTCGTCTGGGCGTGGTCGAGGGGCGGGGCGAGCTCATGCCTGAGCGCTTGCTCTCTGCCGCCTGCGGCCGCGGCGTGCGACTCCAGCCGCGCAGGGAGGTCCCGGAGCCCCTTGCGAACGCGGCTGACGATCTTCAAACAATCGCGCTGCTCCACCAGAGCACCGACTTGCGCGGAGAAGCGGTCGAGAGGTGTCCAGCGCGCGTGGCGCGACACTGCGTCGCTCGACTGCCTCGCGAGCGCCATGATCTTCGAAATCTCGACGCCCAATGAGGCCAGTGGCGCTGACTGAGCGCCCGCTCGAGCGGGTCGACGATATCGACCTCGCGGCGCGCTTTGCCACTGGAGGTCGGGAAGAGCGGGCAGTCTGGCGGCAGGGGCGCCCCGATTGCGCGGTCGATCTGGCGCGCGGTGGCGCGGCGGGGGCAATCAGGCCGCCAGCGCGTCTCCCTGCTGTGGCCAGTCCACGCGGCCGAACGGGGCCCGGTGAAACTACGTCCGAAACGCAACCCATAGAAAGCCGGCGGGCGCGCGGTCGCTCGAAGCGCCCGCGCCCTCGACGAACCCGGCGGCGACAGCCTCTCGAACAGCGTCGGAGGCCGCCGCGCGGATGACTGCTTACCTGCATGGGCGCCTTGCTGGCAGATTCGCGCGCTGCTCCGCGGACTTCTGACCGGCGGGTGCGCCGCGCGTGGGCCCCTTCGACGCTGCTTCTGGAGAGCACCCCGCAGCGCCTCGAAGTGCGGCGGGCGCTCCGAGCCCCGCCGGCGACGAAGACAAACCTCCCGGCGCTGCAGACGGGATCGTAACTCGCGCGCGCCAGGCGCGGCGGAAGAGGAGCCGCAGGCGGTCGCAGATGCTGCTGTTGGAACGCCGCCTCCGCGCCGAGCTCGCGGGCGCCCGCCTCCCTCCGCCTGCTTGCCCTTGCCATTGCCAATTTGAGCGCGGCGGCTCTGAGGGCCGGGCCGGGCGCGGCAACGTCGCGCCGCTGGCGCCCAGCCCGTGCGCGTCGCGCTGCCCGGGGGCGCCCCTGCGCCCAGGGAGCAAACTGCGCAAGTTTCTGGCCCCCCCCCGATTCGCTGAGCGCGTTGCGCTCGAAGATGACCGCGCCGGCAAAGTGCTCGGGGGGCTACCCGCGCGCCCGCGCGTTCCACTGCCACGCGGCGCCCGCGGGTGCGTCGCAGAGGACAGCGCTAGAATCCGCTTCGATCCACTGCCTGGAAATCGAAGCCGCCTTGTTCTCGGCAGAACAGGGCCTCGCCGAAACCGTGTGGAGATGCGTCTGTGCGCGCGCAATGCGCATCGCTGCGCTCCTGGATGCATCGCCTGCCCATCTCCTCGCGGCGAGGTTGCCCCGCGGCGCGCTGGCGAGGCTGGCGAGCGGCCGCCGCGCCCGCGCGATGGCCTGCCTCGCGCGCGCGATGAAGAAGAGCGGCGCGGGCCCTACTCGCGCCAAAAAATCATCGGCCATTGCCCCCCGACTTAAGCCGAAGTGAAAAATCGGATTCATGGAAACAAGCCGCTGGCCCGGTGCAACTGCCCGGCGAATTGCTGCGCGGCCGCGATGTTCACTGCGCCCGCAGCCTCGCGCAGCCCCTCGGCGTCGCCGCGCGTCTCTGCGACCTTCTGCGCGGCAGGGCGGCAAGGATGCCGCGGCGCCCCGCGCGCTGCTCGAGGGCGATCCGGGCGCCGATCCACGGCGCCGCCTGCCCTCTGACTGAGGGGCAGCGATTGGGGGGGGGCCGGCGCGGAGGGGGATGCATCGGCCTGGGATCAGCGACGCATTGCCGATAGACCGGCGATCGGCCTCAGATCGTGAATCCGCGCCCTCCTGGGCATGAAAGACCATCGGGCCCCGTATCGGCGGTCAATGGGCGATTGGGAGTCGATGCGCCCCCCCTGCCACCCCCCTATCGTCGCCCCCGACTGAAGGCTTTCGGCCATTGAAGTTGAACCCCCAGACGTCTCGCGGCAACAATGCCGCGCGCGTGAGAAGGCCTGGGTCGCTGGGGCCCCCTCGCAGCAACGGCCGGGTTCGTCGACGAACGCCTGCGTTCGGAGCTCCGGCCAAGGCCGCGCCAATCCGGCGCCGAACTAGAAGGGCCACCGCCGCGCCGCAGCAGAGTTCGAAGACGGCCCAGCCCTTCGAGGCGCGACCGGCCACGGCGCTGGCCACGGCCGCGCGCGAGGAGGTCGGACAGGCGCGGCAAAACCGCGCGCTCGGGGAGGACGACGAAGCGCCCCCCAGAGCATCGACGATCGAAGATGGACCTGACTTTCGCGGCGCCGTCGCCCCTGACTTTCGCGAGCAGCGGCGCTCTGCAGGCGGCGGCGTTCGGCGGGCGAGCGACGGCGCGCCCCCGCGAAGGGGGGGGCTCGACGGAGCCCTTGTCCGCCGTGGCAAAAGACCTGGCGCCCGCGTAAGAAGAAACGCGATCATTGCGCGACTCGCGGCGCCACTCCCTCGCGCCCCCGATGCGAGTGAATTCCCTGGGTGCTTGGATGGCGGCCGAGGCGCCCGTCGGAAAACGCGGCGCGTTTCGATGGCCGATGCTCAAATTCCTGTCGGGCATCCGTCCCGGAGCCGCTCGGGCATTGCCGCCCAGGGCGGTTTTCGGCGCGCGGGAGGGCGCGAGTCCGAGGCGATGGTCGAATTGCTTGCCCCGCCGCCCCTCGGCGCCCCGACGGGCGGGCGCGACCCCGAACGCCCCCCGTCGCAGGCGCCCGGCGTTGTTCGCGAACACCGCCGAGAAGCCGGGGGAGCCCATGACGCCCGCGCGAGGGGCGACGCCGCCGACCTCTGTTCGGCGCCTCGCCTGGGCGCCGACGTGCCCGAGCATCGCGCGCGCCCAGCTGCCCGCGCGCCGCGAGGCAAGCGACTGTGCGAGTCGGATCCCCGAGGCCCCCCTGCCTGGCTGGCACCGCGCGGCCTACGAAGAGCTGGGCCCCCGGCGGGGGTTATCCGTCCGCCTCGGCGCGAAGGCATTCTGGAAATGCGGATGAGAGGCCGAGGTTCCGTTCCGCCCGGGATGCGGCGACGTCTGCTGCCCGGCCGGTTGTCCGCGCGGATGGGCCGGCATTCCCCGAATCGCTCCTCGGGAAGCTCTGGCGCGGCCCGCCAGGCGCAGCCGCCCGGCGCGAGCTGGATGCCGTTGTCGGCGCGGGCGCCGGGGGGGCGCGCAGTCGAAGCGCGGCCTGGCGCTCTGCGGGGGCATTGCGGCGAGGCCGCAGGCGCTTCGCTTCGGGCAGACGCGCGCCCGGTCCTCAGGGCGCAGAATCGCACGGGCGTCGCGACCCCCCCAGATGTTCTGCCCCTCGCTCACGGCGTCGTAGAGGCCGCGCCTGTTATTTCTGGGGTGCGGGCCCTTGCCCTTGCCGCTGTCCTCGCCATTGCCGCCGCCCTTGGCTTCCGCGCCCTCTGCCGCGGCCTGCCTCTGCCACGCGAACTTGCGCCTCTTTCCGCGCGATGGCGGCTGCGACGCCCCTCCGGCCCGGCCCGCGTCGCCCTCCGCCTTGTCGGCCACGCTCCTCGCGAGGTAGCCCGTCGAAGGTCGGCGCGCGGGCGATGAGATCCCAGGGCGCAGGCGATTACCGGTGGCCGGTCGTCCAGGGCGCAAGCGATAAGAGCTCCGACCGCGTGACCTGGCAGCTAAATCTCTCGCGCATTTGGCGCGAGTCACGGCGAATGCCCTGCGCGGCAGCTGCCTCTCGCGCGCTGGCAGAGGCGCCGACGCTCCAGGTGCTCAGTGTGGAGCTCGCGGATGGCCTTCAACTAAGTCTCGGAGGCGATCGGGGCGATGGCCCCCTTAGGCTCGCCGCTCATCGCGGCCGGAGGGGCAACGTGAATCTGATGACCCAACCTCCTGCAAGACCCAACTCTGATGGCGGAGGCGTTTCGCTATCTGCTGGCCGTTCGGCGCGAGCTCCGAAAAATCCGCGCGCGGCTCCGTCTTGGAGACGACGACGCGGGTCAGCTTCACCGCGAAGTGTTTCGGAGTCGGCTCCGGGAGCGGGTGGCCCTGTTGGATCTTCTCGTAGTTGCGGAGCCACTGCTCGACGCCCGTCGGGTCTGGACTCGGCCCCTCCGTCTCGTCGAGCGGGTCCGCAACGTGCGACGTTTTGGTACAGCTGGCGACAGGAGCAGGGCCCGTTGTCACAGCAACAAGACCGCTGGTGTTTGGGGTGGCTCCGGCTACACGGTGAACGGCGTGATCGCCGTGTCGTGGGCGACATTGATGGCAGCCTCGGCGAAGAAGCTGGCCTCCAGGTCGACCAAGGCGGTCGTGACCATCGCATCCGCCGCCGCCGCGAAGATGCGGGGGTGGATGCTCGCGACGGCACCCGCCTCTGCTGGGAACCCGCAAACCTTCGCGATTTTGGCAAGGGCTTCCTTCTCCACTCCAGCCAATGTCAAGGTGGCGCCAAAGGAACAGTCGAGGCCATTCTCCGCGACAACCTCCGGCACGGGCGCGACGACGTGCGCCGTCCCAAAATGCAAGTTTGGAAGGATGCTTGCGCACAGGAGGTTTGGACCAGCGGGGCGTCCAGAGAAAACAAGAATCCAACTTGTGATGTGGGAAATAAGTACTTCTTTTAAGATGTGAGGAATCGGAGGGGCGCGAGGACCAGGAGGAGGAGGAGATCAGGAGGAGAACAGGAGGATGAGGAGAGAAAGGCTCAGGAGGGGAAGGAATAGGAACGGGAGGAGAGGTGGGTGGCGGATGGGGAGTATGGGGAAGGGGGAGGCGAAGTGACAGCAGGCAGGATAAGCATGAGGAGGAAAGGAGCAAGACGAGGAGGAGGAAGAGGAGGAGGAGGAGGGGGAGGACGGGGACGACGAAGACGAGGGCAATCAGGTGCAAGAGGAGGAGGAGGACGACGACGAAGAACAAACAAGATCAACAGGAGAAGCAGGAAGAGGAGCCGGGAGTGCACGAGGGGCTGGCATCCCCACCCGCCTGCGACGGGCGGCACGTAGAGGAACGCCAGGAGCATGGACAGGTTGAACAGCAGCATGCCCACGTAAACTCGATTGGACAGGAGCCAGGGCAGAGAGAAGTCGTCCCGCCTGTTGGCCAGGAGCTTCTCCTCTTCCTGATGCTCCTCATCATCATCATCACAAACATCAGCAGCACCCTAATCGCAGTCACTATCTCAACCGTAATCACCTTCGCCACGATCACTTCTCAATCATAGTATTCATCCACATGATCGTAATCAACGTGATCATCCCTGCCATCATCAGCTATCGTCCTCGTTATCCCCATGTCGAGGTTCCCCTACTCTGTCCTCCGACTCCCCTGTTCTCCGCATCCACATCCTCACCGTTTTGAGCACCATCGTCATTACGGCGTCATCATCCACATCGTCACCATCAACATTGCAATAACACGCATCGCAATCGAAAGCATCACCGTGATCATCTCTCCCTCCTTCCAAATCCACAACCACTCCTCCTCCTCCTCCTCCTCCTCCTCCTCCTCCTCATCCTCCCTCATCATTCTCCCTTCTCCTTCCTCTCCTCACGATTCGCTCCTCAGCTCCACCCTGTTCCTCCTCCTTCTCCTCCACGCACCTGTAGGCCAGGAGCGCAAGGATCTCGCCCAACTGGATGGTCACGTAGCCCATGGTCTGGCCCCTCCTGGTCCCGAAGGCGGCGCAGTGCCGGGACCTGTCCAGGATAGGCCTGTCCATCATGCTGACGCCGTGGTAGCGCCAGCACCATCGCTTGAGGCCTCGCTGGCTCGGAGAGGTATGGAGGAGGAGGGAGGAGGAACGCGAAAGAGGGGTGGATGGAGGAGGGAATGGGACGGCGACGGGGAAAGAGGAGGAGTGAAGGAAAGGAGTCCTGAAGGTTAACGTTCTGCACCCTGGGGCTCTCTGGGACTAGCAAGCCATCCTGCATCGCTTGAAAATGATGGAGCCTGGGAAATGCTCCAGGAGGCCAAAACCGCCGAGAAGCCTCAGAACCCCTTTCCCTCAGTACCCCCCCTTCCTGGAAGAACAAAACGACGCAGCCATATAAACTTTCGGAGGTCCGCGCAGATTTCTTGGGTCGGCGCCAGCGCCACCCCCGGCGCGATGTGCGCTCCGCGCGCCAGGAGAGGCAGGGACCAGCGCCGACTCAAGATATCAACGAGGACCTCGGAAAGTGGTGCTAGCCGATTGCACTCACGGCGAGGGGAGAGGCCTCGCTTGTCCTCGCAGGGCTCGACCATCGCGTCCCTGCCATCTTTGAACGGAGTGTTCTGCCGATCATAGACTGTGCTGGTGCTCCCCGTCCAGGGGTCGAACACCTTCTCCAGGATCCGGCGTCCACCCCCTAACGGATGCTCCGAGCCTCACCTGTCACGCCTCGTCCCCCAACTCTTCGAGATTCGAGGTTGGAGCATCGGGGTCCGACATTCTCGTACGCTTTTGGCCATTTCTGGGCGTCCAGAACCGTTCGGAGGCCTCTGCAGCAAAAAGTACGGGTGAAGCATTGCGCTCAGGGGCCGAAGCAATTCGGAAGCGCATCCGTGCGCGTTCTCCTTTCAACCACGGTCTTCGATGAAGACACCTTGGCTCAAGTGGCTTAGGCCCTGGTTTGGCCGACATCCGCAGGCCCGGGAGCGAGGCAGAGCCCCAAAAACTCGCAGGGGCCAGCAATGGAGGCCTGCCAGATGGGGTCCGAGTAGATGGGGTCGGAGGATTGCGCAACATGGACGACGTATCATCGATGCATCGGCGATGCATCGGCGACTTCGGCCGTGCATCGGCGACGCCAGCGTGGAGACATCGGGCTCCACATCGAGCCGCATCGCCGATGAATCGGCGATGCGGCGCGATCCTGGAACCACGTCTGTTCGGACCCCATCTGTAGGAAACTTACAAAAAACGTATGCGCCCAACGACGTACACGAATACGGCCCCCCAATCCGCGAGGCCAGGCTCGTGATACGAACGTTCGCGCAATGCGTACTCTCGAAACCAACGTGGATTCATGTACGTGTACGTCCTTATTTTGCTCCTGAACTTGGGAGGCCTGAGCGGCAACACATCGTTACTTTCTTCTCTCCGAAGCCATGGGGTACACCTCGGGGGGCTTGCCCGCGAGGAGGTGCGGGATGGCGCCAGCCCCCCGAGATCTGCTCCTCCCCAGCGCGACCCCACTGCTCGATGGTGACCGGGTCGGCCCACGGGCTCGACCGGCGAAAGCACTTGCAGTGGAACGGGGACTCGTCCTTCTGAGAGAAAGGCCAAGTGTCGGAGGCGCCCTCGCACCAGCCCTTTGCCCCTGCTCCTCCTCCTCATCCTCTTCCTGCTTTCGTCATCCTCCTCGTCCTCCTCTCCTCCTCTCTTCTTCGCTTTCCAGGGGCGCTTACTCGCCGCCCGTGGCCGTGGCCTAACTTGCGTGGCCGACTCTGCCTGTGCAAGTATTTTTTCGCATGCGCTCGAAGGCCCGTCGAAGACCCAAGACTAACCGTGACCTGTGGGGTGAAGTGCGGGAAAGCCTGGGGGCCGCGATGTCAAAGTCAGAAAGGGGCGCCTTTCGCGGGCGCTAGTTTTGGGAACATTCGGCGGCGCGTTTGAAACGGGGGGGGACCCCCCCGAACATTTGGCGCTGTCGAACAAAACCAGAGGGGGCTCCCCTCCCCCCTCCCCCCCCCCCTCCCTGGACCCCCCCCGCCCCTGGCGCTGGCGCTGGCGCGGCACGTCGACGATGAGCAGGACGAAAACGACGACGACAAGGTCCCTCGTAGTCCTCTGTCCTCGGCCATGAATGTCGGAATGTTGACGGACCCATACCTCAAATCCGCCGACCCCAGAGGCGTGTGAGGGAAAGTGCAATCAGACCCATCAGTATTGAGCTTCTCCTACGACTTCTCCTCGATTAGCGTTCCCTTCCTCGTTCCAGCATCCCCACCTCGCGGAACCGCTGTTCCCGGGACCCCCTACCGCGCGAATTCTCGCCCAAACACGACCGACCCCCCCCCCCTGGCCCCCCTCTTCGCCGCCCCCCCCGCGATGTCTCACCCAATACCGACCGACACCCCCTACGGGCCCCTCCTCGCCCCACCCTTCGGCCCGGCACCCCCACCCCAAACCGACCGACGCCCCCCTCCTGGCCCCGACATCCTCGCTCCATGGAACCTCTGTTCTTGGGGCCCCCCACACCACGATTTCTCGCCCAAAACTGACCGACACCGCCAGGCCCCCTCTCCTGGCCCCCTTCGTCGGCCCGGCCCCCCACCCAAAACCGACCGACACCTTCCTCCTGGCCCCGACATCCTCACCCCCGTGGAACTTCTGTTCCTGGGACCTCCCACCCACACCGCGATTTCTCGCCCCAAACCAACCGACGCCCCCCTCCTGGCCCCTTTCCTCGCTCCCCCCCCCGGCCCGGCACCCCCGCCAAAAACCGACCGACACCTCCATCCTGGCCCCGACATCCCCACCCCATGGAACCTCAGTTTTTGGGACCCTCCACCCCAACCGACCCCCCCCTCATGCCCCCCCTCCTCGCCCCCCCCCCTCGGCCCGGCACCCCCACCCAAAACCGCATCCTCACCACATGGAACACTCCATGGGGCAGCTGTTCTTGGGGCTCTCCGCCCCACGAGTTCCCGGCCAAAACCGACTGACCCTCCCTTCCTGGCCCCCCTCCTCGCCCCCCCTCGGCGGGGCACCCCCGCCCAAAACCGACATCCTCACCCCATATAACCTCTGTTCTTGGGGCCCCCCACCTCGCGATTTCTCGTTCAAAACCGACCGGCACCTCCCTCCAGGCTTCCCTCCTGGCCCCCCCCTCGGCCTGGCGCCCCCGCCCAAAACCGATCGACAGCCCCCTCCTGGCCCCGACATCCTCACCGCATGGAACCTCTGTCTGTTCTTGGGACCCCCCATCCCGCGATTTTTCTGTGAAAACCAACCGACACCTCCCTCGTGCCCCCCCCTCGCACCCCCCCCATCCCTCGGCCCGGCGCCCCCGCCCAAAACCGCATCCTCGCCCCATGGAACACCCCGTGGGGCTGCTGTTCTTGGGACCCTCCGCCTTGCGATTTCCCGGCCAAAGCCGACTGCCCCCCCCTTCCTGGCCCCCCTCCTCGCCCCCCTCCTCGGCGGGCCCCTCCCGCCCAAAACTGACATCCCCACCCCATGGAGCCTCTGTTCTTGGGCCCCCCCACCTCGCGATTTTTCGCTCCAAACCGACCGACACCCCTCTCCAGGCTTCCCTCCTCGCCCCCCCCCCCTCAGCCCGGCACCCCCGCCCAAAACCGATCGACGCCCCCCTCCTGGCCCCGACATCCTCGCCGCAGGGAGCCTCTGTCTGTTCGTGGGCCCCCCCTGCGCTACGATTTCTCTTCCAAAACCGACTGGCACCCTCCCCAAAACCGATCAGCCCCCACCCCCTGGCCCCGACGTCCCCGCCCCATGGAACTTTTGTCTTTGGGGCCCCCACACCGCGATTTCTCGCCCCAAGCCGATCGGCGCCTCCCTCCTGGCCCTCCTCCTCGCCCCCGCCCCGTCGGCCCGGCACCCCCGCCCCAAACCGACCGACGCCCCCCCCTCCTGGCGCTGACATCCTCGCCACATGGAACCTCGCTGTTCATGAAACCCCTCGCACCGCGATTTCTCGCTCCAAACCGACCAGCGCCCCTCTCCCGGCCTCCTTGAGCTTGGGGCCTCCCGCCCGCGATTTCTTCTTCAAAAACGACCGGCGCCCCCGTCCTCGCCCTCCTCCTCGGCCCAGCGCCCCCGCCGCATGGAACCTCTGTTCTTGGGCCCCCCGCCCCTCTCTATTTTTTCGCCCAAAAACGAACAGCGCCCCTCTCCTCGCGCCCTTCCTCGGCCCGGCGCCCCCGCTCACGGGGCCTCTGTTCTTGGGGCCCCCGCCCCGCGATTTCGCCCCAGGAACGACCGGCGCCCCCCCCCCCCCCCCTCCTCCTCGCCCCCCTCCTCGACCCGACCCCCCCACCCGCGGAACCTGTGTTCTTGGGCCCCCCCAGCCCGCGACCGACGCCCCTCTCGCCCCCGGAGACCAACCCTGTCGACTACTAGACCCCCGACAGGCGCCAAAGAAGCGCCTAAGAGACTTCGAAAACACAGCAGAGAAACTCAAGAGGCACGCCACGAATGCCCAACTCCGCGGACCCCCTTGGAGGCAATCGGCGCGTGAGATGGCTACCCCCCCCCTTCGCATGCCTCCAAAATCTGCCGACCCCAGAGGCGTGCGCGGACGACCTTGGCAACGCGCGCGCACCTTTCCCCGCCCTGCCGAACCCGTCCCAGAGACCCCCCGCCCTGCCAAATCAGACCCGGCCTCTCCCTCCCAACCGCGCCCCCGCCACGGCCCGGCACCTGCGCCGCCGCCCCCCCCCCCCCTCGCGCCCCCGCCGCGCCCCCCCGCCATCCAGAATCCCACGCGAGCTCAATTCTTGGGACCCCCCACGCGACGATTTCTCGCTCCTAACTGACCGATGCCTCCCACCACGCCCCCACCACGCCCGCGCGACGGCGCGGCGCCCGCGCCCCCCCCTCCCCCCGCGCCTTCACCGCGCCCCCCCCACGGCACCCCATCATCCAGAATCCCACGCGAGCTCTGTTCTTCGGATCCCCCACACAACAATTTCTCGCTCATAACTGACCGAAACCCACCACCACGCCCCCACCACGCCCCCGCCACGGCCCGGCACCGGCACCGCCGCCCCCCCCGTGCCCTCACCACGCCCCCACCGCGCCCCCCCCACCACCATCCAGAATCCCACGCGAGCTCAGTTCTTCGGACCCCCCACACGACAATTTCTCGTCCATATCTGACCGATACCCCCCCCACGACGCCCCCACCGCCCCCCCACCACGGCCCGGCACCCGCCCCCCCCCCCCCCCCTGTGCCCTCACCGCGCCCCACCCGACCCCCCACCATCCAGAACCCCACGCGAACTCAGTTCCTGGGCCCCCCACACGACAATTTCTCGCCCAGAACTGACCGATACCCCCTGCCCCCACCGCGCCCCTGCCACGGCCCGGTACCTGCGCCGCCCGCCCCCCGCGCCCTGTCCACGCAGCCCCCACCGCGACCCCCCCCACATCCAGAATCCCACGCGAGCTCAATTCTTCGGACCCCCACACGACAATTTTTTCTCGTCCATAACTGACCGATGCCCCCCGCCACGCCCCCGCCGCGGCCCCCACCACGGCCCGGCACCCGCCCCCCCCCCCTCCCCGTGCCCTCACCGCGCCCCACCGCGACCCCCCACCATCCAGAACCCCACGCGAACTCAGTTCCTGGGCCCCCCACACGACAATTTCTCGCCCAGAACTGACCGATACCCCCTGCCCCCACCGCGCCCCTGCCACGGCCCGGCACCTGCGCCGCCCCGCCCCCCGCGCCCTGTCCACGCCCCCACCGCGGCCCCCCACCATCCAGAATCCCACGCGAACTCAATTTTTGGGACCCCCCACACGACGCATTCTCGCCCATAACTGACCGATGCCTCCCACCACGCCCCCACCACGCCCTGGCACTGGCACCGCCCCCCCCCCTCACCACGCCACCTCCCGCCCCCCCCCATCCAGAATCTCACGCGAGCTCAGTTCTTTCGACCCCCCCCGCGACAATTTCTCGTCCATAACTGATCGATGCCCCCCACCACGCTCCCACCACGCCCCCACCACGGCCCGGCGCCCGCACTGCCACCCCCCCCCGTGCCCTGTCCACGCCCCCGCCGCGCCCCCCCACCATCCAAAATCCCACGCGAGCTCAGTTCTTCGGACCCCCCACGCGACAATTTCTCGTCCATGACTGACCGATGCCCCCCACCACGCCCCCACCGCGCCCCCACCACGGCCCGGCACCCGCACCGTTCCCCCCCCGCGCCCTGTCCACGCCCCCACCGCGACCCCCCGCCATCCAGAATCCACCGCGAACTCAGTTCCTGGGACCCCCCCACGCAACAATTTCTCGTCCATAACTGACCGAGCACCCCACCACCTCCCACCACGCTCCACCACGGCCCGGCACCCGCACCGCCGCCCGCCCCGCGCCCTGTTCCACGTCCCCACCGCGACCCCCCACCATCCAGCCACGCGAGCTCAATCTTCGACCCCCCCACACGACGATTTCTCTCATAACTGCCGATGCCCCCGCCCCGCCACCCCGCGCCCGGCGCCCCGCGCCGCCCCCCCCCCCCCCCCCCCCCGCGCCCTGTCCACGCCCCCACCGTGGCCCCCCACCATCCAG